TATTGACCGTTTCTGGTTTTCGTCCCTCTTCCAAAGTAAGGTACAATTTAGTCCTCAATCTTTAAAAAACGTTCGTTTTAGTCGAAAAAACGAACGTTTTGAGGACTAAAACGAGGACTAAAAACAAAATTTTGAGGACTAAAACGAATGTTTTTCTAAAGAATGAGGACCAAATTGTACCTTACTTTGGAAGAGGGACGAAAACCAGAAACGGCCAATAGTTTAGGGACTAAAAACATATTTAACCCTATTTTTTATCTTAAATATATATATATATATATATATATATATATATATATTTATATTTTTTTTGTATACGTTAGTTTATAGTATTATGTTAGTGGGAGAATTAAATTCATGATTTTTTTTTTCAATTTTATGTTCATTCTATAATTCTAAAATGTTAACGGAAGAGTTAGATTCACAATCTCTCTCCTCTCCTCCTCTCTTCCAGCATGACCATAAAGTCAAACTAATAATTTTTTACATGCCATTTTTTTTTAAATTTAAAAAATGATTAAATTAATAAAAGAATGAAAATACAAAACGTAATTGCATAGAGTTTTAAATTCACTTTAATTAGTTGGCAAGGTTACATACACCTGCAAGCAAAATGATTGGACTTGTGTGGGTGTAAACTCCATTGTAGAAGATGAAGAAAGTGGTAATGAATGATGTGTCACTGTATGACAACAATTTTTAAAATTGAAAAATAAATAATATAAAATGATTTTTTTTTTCATAGTTTGTCTAGTTTTGAATTTTCATATTAATTATTTTATTTTTTGCTAAAATTTATTATTAAAAAAAGATGCTAAAACAATCCCTAACAATGAAAAGAAAAATACTTTGCAGAGGAAAATGCGTTTAAATTACCTGAAACGCAACTTGAGATTGGTTGTAAGCTCCTTTTCTTCCCCAATCTCCAATGACCAAGAAGCTAAGCGACCCATCTGGTTTAGGTGCTTCTTCAAAACGCTGAAGCAGTGCCGAGGAAACAACCAAACACAGCGCTATGGTATCAATGAAAACAAGAAGGCCCATGGTTAGGTCTGAGTATACGAAGGAGAAAAGAAAGCTTTGCATGGACCCATTTGATTCGTCTCATCCTTTTAAATAGAGCTTTGAGAATCTTATTTTATTTATAATATCTGCATAATCTTATTATGATAGTGCAATAATATAATATGTAAAAATAGTTACGTAAAATAAAAGCAAAGATTA